AGGAAGAGCTAGGGACTGACATTTCTGTGGCAGACTGGGAAGATAGCTTGGAGTATATCCACACCTGCTCCATTAACTCCAGACATTGTCTCATACAATTCAAGGTATTACACAGATTACACTACTCCAAAACTAAGCTGCGTAGGATATTTCCTGATAACTCCCTTATGTGTGATACATGTCATGCTGCGGAGGGTACACTACTCCACTGCTTTGCCCTATGCTCTAAATTGTCTGGTTATTGGTGTGGAATTTTTTGGATCCTCTCTGAAGTTCTCAAGACTTCAATTGACCCAGACCCGCTTATGATCATCCTGGGAGTGTCAGAAACCCTGAACAGATTAACCAACCCCCCAAAACAACTCATCTCTTAGTCTCATTGCGGCTAAAAAATTAATCTTGTTGTTTTAGATAAGAAGGAAGCTCCCTCTACCAAATTATGGCTCAGCGATTTGGCAAACAATTATATATATTCTGAGCAATAAATTATCAACATTTGATCAGATCTGGCAGCCTCTCTTACTTGGACCATCCAGCGCTGTGAATTTTTACATTTTAACGCACTCTCACTTGTAATATTTTAATCTACCCTTAGGCAGCGTGTGTTTGCCCCGGCACCCGAGCAGTGGGGGGGGGGGGGGGGGGGGGGACGGACATACGGACGGACGGACGGACGGACGGACGACTATGACGACATCTGCCCTCTTTCTCTTTGTATGTCCTAATTCTGTAGGTCTTATTTTGTATTATTTATTTTGTACCTAGAACTCTGGGTATTTTTGTATCTGTCTGCTCTTTTATGTTTATATAAGAATTGCATACTTGTCTTTTCTACAAAATACCTAAACACAATTATTGTGTGTGTTCAATAAAAAATATTTGAACGAGCAATGGGTGTGGCTGAAATAGCCAAATCCATTCATTTGAAGGGGTGTCCACATACTTTTGAGTATAGGGGAGGGTCACTTGTTTTTTTTTCAAGAGTTCATGGGAGGGTTTAGGTAAAATATGGGATGTCCATCCATTTTCATTTCAGAGAGGTCCGTTTTTCCAATCCTTATTACAGATAACGTTCACTCCCTAATTTAGTCAGTTATACAGTGCTAGGTTCAATATTGGAGGAAAAGCCATAGCTTGCCGGCAGGGACGGCCTGTTCAATAGGGCGATATGGGCGACGCACTGCCAAACGGGAAAAGGAAGGGATTTTTTTTCTAATCAATTATATCACGGCAACAGTAGTTATCAGTGTTGTAATCTATACGTCTGATCTGCCACAGTGCCACACTGCCACTAAATGTCGAATCAGGCTAAAGTCGTGCTTCAAATGGCTCCACCCCCTTTTGGGGCGATTTCAGTCAGATTGAAAATCGCCCAGAACTTCTGTCATAGACTCCCATGTAAAATCTATTTTTTTCAAATTTCAGAGCCTTCAATACAATCTCAATGGGTGTCTGTGGGCTTGCACTTACGCGCTTTCGTCATACGTTACGTAACCATGAACGTAACTGAGAAAAGAGTGGATTGTTTGAAAGAAGTTCCTTTTTGTCGGCGAACAAATGAAGATAAATTGGCAACGAAACAATTAGGACCTCCCAGACCAAATTTAATAATTCAACAGGTTTCTACTAAAGGCGGAAAGTCCTACACCCGAGGATTTTCCAAAAATTGGTACGAACGAAAAAAGACATTGCCACTCACTCAACTGGATGACGAGGGATACAGGCTAGCTGTCCGCCGCCACAACGATGAGGTTAGTGTTGATAATCACAAGTTTACTGGATGTGGATATGGTGTAATAAAGGCAGTTTATTCAGAGGTAAATATATCTGGAATCGCGTTCACGGACCCGTTCGTCAAACTCTTAGGGAGCTATAAATTAAGCCCCATTACTTACCATATCAGATAAGAGAAATTGCTGCAGCTACATATATTTTACATCCTGGCCCTACATAGTTCACTATTTGCATCACTTACCAAAATATTACATGTGGTCATATATGCTTGGAAATTGGAGATGCCATAGAACGTCAAAAAAGTAAACATTGCTGGAGACACATTGCCGTTTTGGAGAAGACATCGCGTTTGCTAGCGAAGAGATTTGTTGTGGCAAATGAACTTGGGCTGGGAATTGCCAGGAACCTCACGATAAGATATATGCATCAGCATTGCGAGTCTCATGATTCTATACGTATTGCGATTCGATACTGTGATTTTATTGCGCACCATATGTCTGTTGCAGAGGGATCAGAAAGCCATGAGAACGAGTTTTGATCAGTCATGGAAATAAAAGTGCTGAAAACAAATTGGCTCCCAATGTGAAAAGATTGAGAACAAGCTATGAAGGAACAATAATGGTGTTTTGGTGCAGGTACAGCCAACTAGCGCTAAAATATTGCGATATTGTCAATACAGTATATCGTAAAGTATCACTATGTAACTCGATTTCTTTCACCCCAATCCCTCAAATTAACGGTAAATAACTGAATTGTTTGCCCCACATTTAGCTAAGATGATTAGCTAGCCAGCTAAAATGTTTTATTTAGTTAGCAGTCGCATCTACAATAGTTTACTGTCAATAACATGTCTCCAAAAATGACGTGGTGTCTCCAATTGTGTTGACATTTTACAATTGCAATGCGCATCCATGAGTATCCACTTTCTGTAGCTCAGCTGGTAGAGCATGGTGCTTGTAACGCCAAGGTAGTGGGTTCGATCCCCGGGACCACCCATACACAAAAATGTATGCACGCATGACTGTAAGTCGCTTTGGATAAAAGCGTCTGCTAAATGGCATATTATTATTATTATTATTATCTGAAGAGAGCCCCGAAACATTGTGTGCAGACATTTTATGCAATAAATGAAGTAGGTTCAATCTAGTAGTTCTGATCTTCTGATTGGTCCTGATGAGTTGGGCGAGGTCCCCTGCAGGCTACTGTCACTGTTGCATTGGCTCTGAGTCGGGTTCTCTGTCTTCAAATGTTCAGCCTAAGAGAGGGGATTTTTGTGTGTGTGTGTGTGTGTGTGTGTGTTTAACAGTGATGATGTGTGTGTGTGTGTGTGTGTTTAACAGTGATGATGTGTGTGTGTGTGTGTTTGTGTGTGTGTGTGTCCTCAGAGCAAGAACTCGTGAGTTGGAAGAACTGAGAGGCCTATGGCGTGGGTGTTGTCCTTGGCCACCTGCTGACAAGGCTGACAAGATAGGACCCTTTTGTCCATTGTTATTGGATAGGAACAGAACTTATAACCAGCTCCTGACCTAAATAGATCTTAGCACAACATTTTACTCAACATATCATATTCCATATTCACTATAACAAATATATTTACTACGACATTAGCAAGAACCGCCACATCCTCAGCCGGCTAATCCAGTGTGTGAAGTTTTGCGGAGTGTTTGAGTTAGCTTTGCGAGGCAAAGATGAAACTGAGGGCTCCACCAACCCTGGTAAGCCAACACTTTTGAGATCAGTCAATAAATGCTTCTGGTATTGACTTATATGCTGCCCCTGTCTTCATGTTGTTGCTGGACATATCTTTTTTTAAATGTGTGTAGGTCACCTAAATCATCAGAAAAATTGCCCCTCCTGAGAATTTTTTCAGGAGCCGCCACTGCTTGCCGGTCCCAGACACACAACGGACAGCATTGCCAGTCCCTGGAACGAACAAAGTTGAGAATCACATACTGTTCTAGATGATGAGAGTTGAAACAAAAGTCAATACAATACAATCTTGCCACTATGCATTCAACAAACAACATGGCGGGTTAGATCCACTGGGTCAGAGACAAATGGCGTGTTCAAAACAACTGGGAGCTCGGAACTTGGAAATCTCCGACTTCAGTGTGTTCACAACAACTGGGAACTCGGGGGAAAAAACGAGTTCAATGGTCATCCAACTCGGGAAGTCGGGCCTCTTTCTAGAGCTCCGACTTTCTGACTTGAAGATCACTGACGTCATGATTTGACCTTGTTTTTTTTTTCCGAGTTCCCAGTTGTTTTGAACGCGGCAATAGATAGCCTATGATACAGCCTAACCTACAGTTTATCCTCAGCTGTTGATTTTTTTGGGTGCGCATTGTCCCCCCTTCACTTTATGAGTCCTCAGATCCTCAAAAAATTATACAGCTGCACCATCGAGAGCATCCTGACTGGTTGCATCACCGCCTGGTATGGCAACTGCTTGGCCTCCGACCGCAAGGCACTACAGAGGGTAGTGCGTACGGCCCAGTACATCACTGGGGCCAAGCTTCCTGCCATCCAGGACCTCTATACCAGGCGGTGTCAGAGGAAGGCCCTCAAAATTGTCAAAGACTCCAGCCACCCTAGTCATAGACTGTTCTCCCTGCTACCGCACGGCAAGCGGTACCGGAGTGCCAAGTCTAGGTCCAAAAGACTTCTCAACAGCTTTTACCCCCAAGCCATAAGACTCCTGAACAGCTAATCATGGCTACCCGGACTATTTGCACTGCCCCCCCACCCCATCCTTTTTACGCTGCTGCTACTCTGTTAATTATTTATGCATAGTCACTTTAACTCTACCCACATGTACATATTACTTCAACTATCTCAACTAGCCGGTGCCCCCGCACATTGACTCTGCACCGGTACCCCCCCTGTATATATAGCCTCCCTACTGTTATTTTATTTTACTTCTGCTCTTTTTTTCTCAACACTTTTTTTGTTGTTGTTTTATTTTTACTTTTTTGTTAAAATAAATGCACTGTTGGTTAAGGGCTGTAAGTAAGCATTTCACTGTAATGTCTGCACCTGTTGTATTCGGCGCATGTGACCAATACATTTTGATTTGATTTGATTTGATCTAGTTATGCATCTTTACGTCATCTTAAAGCTTTTACTTGAGCCCTGTATTTACTTCAATGGCAGATCCAAGACCAAAGGAATTGGTTAATCTAACGTATGCTTCTAACTAGCTTTACTACATTGATCCAAATCACACGTTGCTGTTCATTTAATCCTTGAAGAAAAAAAATCACATTTATGAATCTGGCGTTACCTCTGCAGAGCAGACGTGCTGTGTGACGTGGCAGAATGGGCGGAAGGGGTTGTTTGTGTTTTGGTTCGAGTAAAGGGGAAGTTGCGAGAAGAAAGAAAAAGGAGGAGACGTGATCGGGGTTGTTGAAATTATTCGTATGTTCAACAATACGTATCTGTCCGCACTGCGACCTTTATTTTGTGTATAGACTCTTGTGTGGTATTCTGTGTTCGTAAACCGCCTGGCTCTCAGGTATAGTAAGCGAAATGGTGTGAGAAGTTGTACATTTCAGCTCGTTAGTTGTCATTAGGCTAGCTTAGCTAGCTTGAAATGCTAACATTGACGTCTGGTGAGAAATGAAAAAAATAGGCCGTGGCCCCGACTTGGGAAGAGCCCTAACATCGGTTTTGTCATTTCATCGTTCCGACTCAAACCGTGTTCATGATGTTATTTATTGGTTGTGTTGATCATGTGTGGATATGGGTTCGTCATCTGATTCTGCTTGCTAGTTAGCTTATTGAAAATGTAGTTAGCCAGCCAGCTCCATCATCACATTCGCAATCTGACATGTTTTTCTAACGTTAGCTTCCACCCAGTCACCTAGCTAGCTGCTTAACAATACGGTCAGTAATCAGGGAGTAGGTAGGTAGCACACGTTAGCAATTCAGATTTTGATGTAGATAGTTAGCTGGCTAGTTACCTGGCTTGCTAATAACCTAGCTAGCAAGCTAACGTTAATTGGGTTAGCATTTGCGTCTATTTGGAAAATGGCGTGCTCTCAATTTCCTAGCTAGCTACTCTAGCTTCGAAAATAAAGCGAAGAGTAGCTCACGTTAGCTATGCTAATTTAGTACATTGTTGGAAGTTTGAACAATCCATGCTAGCACTGCAGAGATTCATAACAGTGCTGGTTGAGTCACTTCCCACCTCGAAAGCAACAGCCAGTACAGGCCGTTGGCATTGCTGTTAGCCTATTGCGCATGTTTACTTTATACTTTTTTGCTATTATATTCGCTAGATGTAGGCAAACATATTTACATTGGAAGGCACTCTTTAAACAACACTGCAACGCCTTGCCCGTAGGCTTGAATGCGATTGTAAATATTTGTCAGTCCTTGCTCAGTAGTGTTTTCCTCTATGGCAAATTGTGTGTGTTTTGGAAAGGTTGAGGGGTACAATTTCAGCTCCGAGAGAGGATGTTACTTTGTGTACCGACAGTTTGCATGGTTTTGACTGTAAATGCATATGGGAAGTCCAGATCAGAGCCATATTATTCAGTATTTTTATATATTTCCAAAGTCTACAGATTAGGCACACCCAACTCTCTGTCAGTTGCAATGTATGGTGTATTTGAACAAGGAAAATATATTTTAGTGAGCTTACATATCCAGCCATCTCTGTGGTACCATGCACTCTGAGATTGTACAGGGCTGAGTCATAGTCAATACACAAAATGGGTGAAAACAGTTTAAAACAGGGATATACGATCTGCTTGTCCAATAAGAAACGCTTGTATTCGTTTTCCGTTGCACAGTCTTTTGCTATGGTGTGCCCTTATTAATATGCCCCAGCAGTACAGCCAGGTTTGACTGGCACCAGCCATATTTATTTGTTTTCAGGGCAGTCTGACACTCTCAATGGTCTTCAGTAGACAGAGGAGCATCTATTCAGAGGACGGAGAGAAAGACCGTGTCCAGTTCATTGTGTAGCTCATTCATTCCATCCCAACACTTCACCATATATTTTAGAGCTAAGTTGATCTCCTCTTTATCAGGAGAGTCTGGACACGGATATCAAGGTTTCTTCCTTTTTCTCTTTCGAGAAGCATGTCCACTTCCATACTGTCACCTTGACTCACTTATGGAGGATATAGGCCAGGGTTAAATTACATGTGTCAAAACAACTTCATGAAAACATCCTTATCTCTACTTTAAAACCCTCTTATCTTTACCACACCTGACATAACCCTAGCTAAAAACATCATCAGAGTCACGTGAATAATTTTTCATTTTTTCCTCCTCTCTACCGCCGCCTCCAGCTGAAGCCCTGACAGCGTAGTCAGACGTGCGGGACAGACACTGACCGGGGGATCTGACTAGGCCATGGCCAACAGGGGAGGAGCTACAAGACCCAACGGGTCTAACGCTGGTAACAAGATCTGCCAGTTCAAGCTAGTGCTTCTGGGGGAGTCGGCGGTGGGCAAGTCCAGCCTGGTGCTCCGCTTCGTCAAGGGCCAGTTCCACGAGTTCCAGGAGAGCACCATAGGAGGTGACCATCACTCATTTATGCACTTAGGCCGGGAACAGAAAATGATCTCTAGCCTCTTCTGCAAGTCCCTATCCCTTCAGTGTTATAAGATCTGAAAGAACCGGTTATGGAAGGAACCTCAGACTTGCAGACAATGGAGCAATAGGGACTATGGGTTGTTGTTGGGTGTGGGCTGTAGTTATCTATTTATCCCTTCATTCATATTGTTGAATGTGTTTAGTGAGGTGTCCTGCTCTAATGCTTTTTAAAGTTCACGTCAATTATGTATTTGACAACTCTCGCTCTTCTCTCCTCCCCAGCGGCCTTCCTGACCCAGACAGTGTGTCTAGATGACACGACGGTGAAGTTTGAGATCTGGGACACGGCTGGACAGGAGCGCTACCACAGCCTGGCGCCCATGTACTACAGAGGGGCGCAGGCCGCCATTGTGGTCTACGACATCACAAATGAGGCAAGTAGCATCATTACTTGCCCTTATGGTCAGAATCAATTATCCTTCGTCAAAATGATAATTGATCTCACATGTTTGGATATGTGGTCAAACTTGGGATCTCTTCACGCTGGATTATTCACATATGTTGGAAATTGGCCTAGGGCTCCGTTCCATTGAAGAAAAGGAATTCCAAATCGAAAGTGAAGTGTTTTTAACATCACCATTTCTATAATATGACTCTTGTCTCCAGGAGTCATTTGCGCGGGCCAGGAACTGGGTGAAGGAGCTGCAGAGACAAGCCAGCCCCAACATTGTCATCGCTCTGTCAGGCAACAAGGCTGACCTAGCCAGCAAGAGAGCCGTGGACTTCCAGGTGAGCCCTCCAAACACCTGTACCTGTCTGGTGTCACCAGAACACACCAGTGTGGTGTGTGTCTGCGTTTGACAGGCAGTGACTGTCTCTGACATGGTTGTTTTTCCCAGGATGCCCAGTCATATGCAGACGACAACAGCTTGCTCTTCATGGAGACGTCGGCCAAGACGTCTATGAATGTGAACGAGATATTCATGGCTATTGGTAGGTTCCTCTCACCCCGTGACACGCATCACTTACTGATATGTAATTGAATAGGGCCGTGCACACTGAAATACTCTAATACATACTTAGACAAGTATCAAGAAAATGTGAACTAGCAGGATGTTTTAATCCAGCGCTCCTCACCAGTAACTGGCTTTTTATGTTTTTTGTTTGTTTTTCTTCCGCCCCCCAGCGAAAAGATTGCCCAAGAGCGAGCCCGCGGCCGCCAGCGTTAACAGCGGGCGTAACAGGGGCGTCGACCTAACGGAAGCCGCCCAGCCAACCAAGGCCCCCTGCTGCAGTACCTAAAGCGAAGCCCCCCCCCACCCACCCCCACACTGCAGTAACTAATGTGATGTCCAACCCCCCCCCCCCCACCCCCCCACACTGCAGTAACTAATGTGATGTCCAACCCCCCCCCCCCCCCCCCCCCCCCCCCCCCACCCCCACACTGCAGTAACTAATGTGATGTCCAACCCCCCCCCCCCAAAAAAAAACTCTGATCTGCAGCAACAAAAAAATATGCCCTTTGAACCCCCCTCCCATCCTACCCTTCCCCTCTCTGCAGTAACTAATGCAAAGCAACGCCCTCATCTATAGTTCTCTCAATGACGCCCGCCCGCCCCTCCCTCTCCCCTACTGGTTCTGCTGTTACTAATTGAGACTCCTCCCACCTTCCTCCTTCTTTTCTGAAATTAGTGCCCGCCTTCCCTACCTCATTCTTCCTGACTATTGGCAAGCAGCAGGACTAAGGGGCGGGGCAACTCTGATGGTGGTCTCTTCTCCTGGGATAGCTACAGACTATCGCTCTGTGTTTCTAACACAATCTCTGTCCTTTTTGTTTGTTTGTTTTTTTGTTTAGTTGTTTTTTTTATAGTGGGAATTATGGATGCATGTATCACTACAAGGCCTAACATGATGATGAAAAAAATTTGATGTGTTAACTTTATTCAGCGGCACAAAAACATATATTCGCGAGAGAGGCTCCAAAGGTTTTCTAGGGCTAATTCATGACAAGTCTAAAGAAAAGACTGTTTAGCAGTGGATGGGTCCCTGCTAGTTTCTCTCTGTTGATCCATCTGTCTGTCTGCCCTCATCTTTATCTTGAGTAACGTATTCACACGCTATCCCCACTAAACCTTTAGTAGCACTATTGTAGAGTTGCTCCCTTCTGTCTCTCTTGGCCCCATCCCAGGACCTTGCCTGCTTCTAATGCTCAGTCCCAAATCAAACCCTAACCACTTAGGTACTTCATGTAGGTCTGAGAGGATTTGAGGTCTAAACAATCGGGTGAACATTCCACCAAGCCTATCACAGGATAAGGTGGAGCGATCCTCATAATGCTCACACCTATTCGATTCTCTCAGATCTACTTAAGGGGTTAGAGGGCAATTTGGGATTGGGCATAGCTGTCCTAGTGGCATCGTGCAATGGTTCACAGTATTGGCTCTGTGATTTCTTCAGTGTCTGCAAGGATCTTCACACTGCAAAGCAAAGCAACCTGCCACCAACCCTACCTGCTATCACACCCTTACCCTCCCAACCCTACCTGCTATCACACACACACTTACCCTCCCCCACCCCACCAACCCCATCTGCTATCACCCCCTTACCCCCCCCACCAAACCCTACCTGCTATCACACCCTTACCCTCCCAACCCTACCTGCTATCACACACACACTTACCCTCCCCCACCCCACCAACCCCATCTGCTATCACCCCCTTACCCCCCCCACCAAACCCTACCTGCTATCACCACCTTACCCCCCAACCCACCAACCCCATCTGCTATCACCCCCTTACCCCCCCCACCAAACCCTACCTGCTATCACCACCTTACCCCCCAACCCACCAACCCCATCTGCTATCAACCCCTTACCCCACCAACCCCATCTGCTATCACCACAGTATGGCATCGGGGCCTCTGAGACTTGTTCACTAGTGACCCCCCGCCCCCTGAATACCAAGCCTCCAGACCCCTCTCCCTCCTGACCTGATGGTCTCTGTCCGAGGGAGGGGTTAGATCCTGATCTATACGGGTTACAATGTCAGCTGATGTTCATTACGTCTCAACATGTAATGGATGAGATTAGGTCATGGTTCAGATTATGAGGCCTGTCCAGGTGTAAACAAGATGCTGGCTGGAAGGCAGCTGTTTTCCACCTGGAGAGACAGGGGAGCATGGTGAGGTGACCTCTAGGTGTTGAGAGAGGGGAGCATGGTGAGGTGACCTCTAGGTGTTGAGAGAGGGGAGCATGGTGAGGTGACCTCTAGGTGTTGAGAGTGGGGAGCATGGTGAGGTGACCTCTAGGTGTTGAGAGTGGGGAGCATGGTGAGGTGACCTCTAGGTGTTGAGCGAGGGGAGCATGGTGAGATGACCTCTAGGTGTTGAGAGAGGGGAGCATGATGAGGTGACCTCTAGGTTTTGAGAGAGGGGAGCATGGTGAGGTGACCTCTAGGTGTTGAGAGTGGGGAGCATGGTGAGGTGACCTCTAGGTGTTGAGAGGAGCATGGTGAGATTACCTCTAGGTGTTGAGAGGAGCATGGTGAGATGACCTCTAGGTGTTGAGAGGAGCATGGTGAGATTACCTCTAGGTGTTGAGAGGAGCATGGTGAGATTACTTCTAGGTGTTGAGAGAGGGGAGCATGGTGAGGTGACCTCTAGGTGTTGAGAGAGGGGAGCATGGTGAGGTGACCTCTAGGTGTTGAGAGAGGGGAGCATGGTGAGATGAACTCTGTGTTGAGAGAGGAGCATGGTGAGGTGACCTCTAGGTGTTGAGAGAGGGGAGCATGATGAGATGACCTCTAGGTGTTGAGAGAGGAGCATGGTGAGGTGACCTCTAGGTGTTGAGAGAGGGGAGCATGGTGAGGTGACCTCTAGGTGTTGAGAGAGGGGAGCATGGTGAGGTGACCTCTAGGTGTTGAGAGAGGGGAGCATGGTGAGGTGACCTCTAGGTGTTCAGAGAGGGGAGCATGGTGAGGTGACCTCTAGGTGTTGAGAGAGGGGAGCATGGTGAGGTGACCTCTAGGTGTTGAGAGAGGGGAGCATGGTGAGGTGACCTCTAGGTGTTGAGAGAGGAGCATGGTGAGGTGACCTCTAGGTGTTGAGAGTGTCACTATTCATCCCCTGTTCTTTAGTGCTTTAGACACTGTGTGTTTACGTACACAGGGAGACTGGGCTGTTTGGTGATAAAACATCCTCATAGAGACAACAAATACACAGTCAGACGCAGGTTTATTTATCTCCAAACCCTCCCAGACCTAAATACTGTAATAACACACACAAGCTAAAACACGGCTCGCTCACAGACATACACTTTAGTGTTATTTTTAAACCCTGGACCTGTTATATATACACACTCACACACACAACCTGTTCTGGTCAATAACTCTCTCCAGGTCTCTCTTCCTCATGCCTTGCACTAATGATTCTCATGAATAAATCTTGTCATAATTACAGCCAGTGTGATATAAATATATATATATATATAAATAATATACTGTAAATAGGGTGTTGCAATGTAGTCTACTTTTTCGATTTACAATTGAGAAGACTAATGCTTGCTAGGGAGTTGTCTAGATCATCAATAAAAAACTGTACAGTTAGCAGAAAACAGCTTCGGTGTGGGTTTGGAGTTGTTGTTTTTTTCACAGAAATTGTCAAATTATAATCGATGGTGGTCTTTATAAATGTATGTAGTGTTATTAACAAAAAAATGAACTTGCATTTCTTTAGTGGTCTGTCTTTAAACTTTATTTCTCAAGAAAAACAGTGTTTTTTTTGTTGTTTTTTTTACATTCTCTAACGCATTTCACTCATTTGTTAGTGATCTTAAGTAAGGATGCCCTGTCCAATACTCCTCATCCTACTAGAACTGAACACACACAATACACCGTCTGGGTGTAGAATCCCTGCTGGAGCAAAGCAGAAAGCAGATCGGATTTGACAAAACTAACCGTCCGCTTGTCTTATAAAGTCGCTGTAAGAATGTAACAACCTTAGTAGGAGAAGAAAGTCTGGTCTGTTCTACTGTTGGGGTATTAGCTGGTGGATCATGATGATGATGATTAACTCATAGGGATGTACATTGTATACATTTTTGTTGTTGCTGTGGACACTTACTTGCAGCTGGAAAAAAATTAACAAATGCAAGCATTTTACAGTACTGTTAAATAATGACCAAATAAATACATCAATAAAATGGATGATTTATATTGTATGGAGGTTGTAGTGTGTGTGGAGTAGGATCTTTGGATTAGCTAAGAGGAGGAGGGTGGTTCCTATTTTCTATGATCTCTAGAACGTATATGGTTCTAAGATTGTTTTCAGTGGTTCTAGATGTTTTCTTACTCTACTGTACTCTGTGTGGTGTAAAGAACCCCAACCACTACGCCGGAGGTCTCCAGTGACATCCTGTTCTTTTTATCTGACCTTTGACCCCTAGCTTTGCCTATTGAGGTCACAGCGACTAAGGTACTGGTGGTCTTGTCAGACCTGTCCTCACCCTGGCTCTGAATATCGAGTCAGAATAACAAAACTATATTATAAGATGTAATAATGGGCCTATAATAGGAAACATTTTATTACATATGTATTGATGTGTAATTACAAGGCCTAGTACATTATTGTGGTATTTCTAAGGCGGACATCATCTGCAGCATCTTTTGTCTGCTTTTCCCATGTCTTATTATTATTTGCCTATGACGGTATGTCACACTCCATTTGTCCCAGGTCGTTACATTTGACCTTGAAATTCTCACTACAAATGGTAACACTTTTTGTGACCTCTACCCTGAATCATAGCCTACTCCAGCGTTTCCCAAACTAGGGGTTTGAAAATAGGGTTGCAAGAGAAACTCTGAAATAAAATGACTTAAGTAACCTCCGATAGCCGCTAGATGCAGTTGTAATAAACAGAGTGGTTTCTGTTTTCTTCATACAAATGTAGTTCTATCTTTTGAACAGTTTAAGCTAAATATTAGGACCCATCACCTGAAAGATAAGACTGAGGAACACATATGTTTCTTCTGTATCCCTCTACGTTTTGATAACTGTGAAAATCTCTCTAGGACAAGAAATACTTGTATTAATATATTCGCCTGAATTTACCACCCCCCCCCCCCCCAAAAAAAAGAAAGAAATAAAGGAAATAAATGCTAATTGGCTGCTAAAGTGGCTATCATAAATAACTACAAATGCCATGATGATCTGGATGATACTGCCTAATCGAGGCAAAGGTAAGAATCTCTGGATGAACTATCTAATGTTATCTAAATGTAGTAATGAATCAATTGGCTACATTTCTTTAAATTGACAATTCTGTGAACTGTCTTGTGCAAGTTTTAAATTGACACAATACCTGTTAGCAAAAGTGTCAGCTAGAGATGACGTGCAGGAGCTTGCAGGGATTTGTAGTTTTGCATGATGTCTACTTTTGATGGAAGTTAGCATTTTTTAATCTGAGAGTAAATAGAGCCGAATGTATTGGTAAGTAACCTTGTCCAAGAGAGATTGGCATGCTTATCAAAACGTCACGCCAGGGTAAGCCTACAAAAACACAGCCCTTATTTTAAGTTTTTCTAAAATCCCCTATAGTAAAAATGAATGGTGAAAAGACTATTGGAACCATTTCCCTGTTCGACCACTATATTTTATGGTTATTTTGACACCTCCACTTTGGGGCTCTATGCACACAAGCCTGTGTAGGACTCATTAGAACATATAGTGGATAAGAACAGGCACTAAATCAGACGGGGGGAAAGAACATCATCAATGTTCTTTCCTACACAGAAAATCATACAAAACTATTCCCTGATGATCTTCTGAACTTCCTAATACCTTTCTTATGCATTTCAGTCACCTCAAACCATACTTCCTTCAGATTGACCTACTGTCAAAAGTGCTGTAAAACTGATTTATAATAGACTGTCAAAGCCCCAATTAATATAAATTGATATCAAAAAAAGGTTTGGGAACCCCTGGCCATGCATACTCTCTGGAATACCCATTTTGTCTCCCCTAGTGGAGGAAGAACGGACCTACAATGACAAATAAAAAATAAGGATCAGCGCATTGAGCTATTAAAAAAAAACGGATCAGCGCCATGTCTGATTCTCCAGTTGTGTAATAGAGAACAGGACACCTAAACAATTTAATTCCAGGGTCGGGGATCCCGTTCGGTCTCGAGGATGTCCGGGAGCGCAGGGATTCAGCAGGGCTCCCCGGCCATCGGTGCAGCGGGATCGGCGCCTGCGGCTCCGGGAGCCGGGGGAACGGAGGGTTCGGGCGCCACGGTAGGTTCGGCACGAATCGCCGTGAAGAAGGCGCAGCTCCGCTCCTCCCCGCGCCCGAAAAAACTGGAGAAGCTCGGAGTTTATTCATCTTGCAAGGTAGTTTTAAGTCGTCCATTATTACATTATTTAGCAATTCTACATTTTGTAATGTTTTGCAAGTGGATTGTGTATCAGATGCTTATTGGTTTGCAGTGCTACCAAAATGCAAGCGCAGCAAAGGAAGCCATTGCTGCGCTTGCATTTTTCATATCCCTCATGCTCTAGTTATGCAAAATGATCCTATTGGAAATAAACATCAGGAAAAAAACCGGCTGAATGATCAGTCCTGGCGCTCCTATATTTACTATTACAATGTAAAAATATTTATTTCTAGGCGGGAGTGGACTGTAAACATTCTCTTGGCTCTTTGACAAATTCAGGTTAGCGAGCATAATGCCTTGGTGAGTAATGCCTCAAGCAAGGGGAGTGTACGGGGCGTAATTCACCCCACTGGAATAGTGACAGTGTATTTTTGCGGTCTGTCAGCGCACCGTGGTAAATAGAAAGTATTTATTGCAGTTATATATCATCTGCAGGGAGAGAGAGTGTCTTTGTTTTGACAGGGTGACAGCTGCTGGGTGCAGAGTTTGTTGTTGTGCCTTGGCTCATGTCCCTGTGCACAGCTCGGCTCCAGCTAAGAGTTGTAGTGAGAGAGAGGGCAGTCCCACCAGGCATTGCCTCGCTATGCCACTTTGTAGCCAAGCTGTCTGTCTTTGTCAACTTGTGCATATATCAGAGAAGTTCAATGGGATTTTTCCTATTACATTATGTTTCTAAACATGTGTGTGTGTATGTGTGTTTCTAACCCTTGCAACCCTGTGCTGTAGGCTGAGGGGGCCTGTAAGTGTAACAGCTGGAAGAGCCAGAACCCCCCTCCCACACCACCCAGTACGGACCAGCAGCCCAACACTGTCAACCTTCAGGAGCCCTGCCGTAGCTGCTCTCACACACTGGGTAAGACTACGGGGACAGAGGGTTGAGGGAGAGGGTTGAGAGAGGAGACGTTAGGAGGGGTTGCCCTGTGTACCTGAGGGGGAGAGAGGGTCAGAGGGGGGACATGGGGATGCGGTGCCACTGCCACGTGTACCAGAGGAAGAGGGGGGGGGGGACAGAGAGCATGCAGTGTGCCCTGAAGGCAGGCAGGCAGGCAGGAGAGTGAGATGTGGGTGTAAGGGCATGATATAGGCAGGTGGAATGTTCTAGAAATCCAGGTAATAAGGAGGTAACAGGTTTTCAGGGGCACATTGGTCATCAAAACAAAAGTCTGCCTTCTCTCTCTCGCTCTCTCATTCTCTCACTGTCTCTCCTTTTCAGGTGATCATGTGACCCACCTGGAAAACGTCTCAGAGGAGGAGATGAACAGGCTTCTGGGTATTGCCCTGGACGTGGAGTATCTGAACACATGTGTCCACAAAGAGGAGGACGCTGACACCAAACAAGTCTACTTCTCCCTCTTCAAGGTAGGCCACAGCTCAACATGTCAACAACACATTACTTTCAGTGCATCAATTTCCTTCTTCTTCTTCTTCTTCTTCTTTCTTCTTCTTCTTCTTCTTCTTCTTCTTCTTCTTCTTCTTCTTCTTCTTCTTCTTCTTCAGCTGTTGAGGAAATGCATCCTACAGATGGGCAAACCTGTGGTGGAGGCACAGGAGAGTCCTCCGTTTGAGAAACCTAGCATCGAACAGGCAAGTGTACACACACAAGCCTAGCAGAAAAATAAAAATTCAGATCACACTTACACAAGATGTACACATTATATTTTGTTTACATGATCTCTGTGTCACTTCAACAGGGGGTGAATAACTTTGTCCAGTACAAGTTCAGCCATCTTCCCTCCAAGGAGCGTCAGACCATCGTGGAGCTGGCCAAGATGTTCCTCAACCAGATCAACTACTGGCAGCTGGAGACACCCTCACAGAGACGACAGCGGGCGCCTGCTGATGATGCCGCCGGGTACAAAGTCAACTACACCAGGTAGCAGGAGCCCTTTGATGATACGATTGCAACTTCTGGCAGGCGCGCTTTGATGATGCGTTCACAGTAATGACATGTTTATTCCTAATGCACTGACCACACTGTGGGCTGGCTTAAAGTTCTTAATGCTTACATGCTGACTACACCAGGCACGCCATCCAACACATGTAGATTTTGTCCATCCACACCAGACGTGATCAGGACACTCAGGTTTAAATATCAAAACGAACCAACTATATTAATTTGGGGAAAGGTCGAAACACATATGAAAGATTCATGGACATTTAGCTAGCTAGCTTGCTGTTGCTAGGTAATTTGTCCTGGGATATAAACATTGTGTTGTTGTTTTATCTAAAATGTACTATGTCCTTTTTTTTCTGGATCTTTGTAGAATTTTGACCCATTTTGAGTCACACAAAATTATGTGTTCACTACTTTGACAATTAGTCCACAGATAAAAGGGGAAACCTAGTTTGTTTCTAGTAATCTTTTCTTCTCCTTCTTTTGTGGATTTTATATGGTGGTTGGCAACCAATTTTAAGGGGTATTAACGCAACCAACTGGACTGGAGTGTGGACCTAGTTCATCTTTCAATCACCAACGTGGGTATATGCACCTAAAAACCAATGACGAGATGGGAGAGGTGGGACTTGAAGCGCGTCAAGCATCTAAAATAGAACCAAGTTCAACAGATTCTATTTTAGCGCCTGGCTACGCAGATGCTCGTTGACGCGCGCAAGCAGTTTGGATTAAATGATTGAATAATATGTATGTATACATTTATTTAGCAATGCTTGCGCACGCAACGCAGGTGGTGTGGTCAGCATGTTATGGGGGGTGCCCAGTGTTTTCTCAAACACTTAAACATAGGGTAGCCATAACTTGGTACCAACAGATACACTGTCCTCCTAGAGTTGATGAATTTTCTCTTCATACCAATAGATGATGCGTACATTTCATGCAAATTCTATCACCATTATATAACCTAGAATCAAACCCACATTTTTGTGGTGTGTTTTCCCCCAGATGGCTGTGCTACTGCAACGTCCCCCAGTTCTGTGACAGTCTGCCGCGGTACGAGACGACCCAGATCTTTGGTCGGACCCTGCTGCGCTCCGTCTTCACTGTAATGAGGAAACAGCTACTAGAGCAGGCCAGGCAGGAGAAGGATAAGCTACCCCCAGAGAAACGCACTCTCATCCTCACACACTTCCCCAAGTAAGACACACACACACGTACACACGCATGAGGTAGAGGAGGATTCCTAGTCTGTGTCTACAGTAGGTGTGATGATGATATCTGTGTGCCATAGATTCCTGTCCATGTTAGAGGAGGAGGTGTACAGTCACAGCTCTCCCATCTGGAGTGAAGACTTCCTGGCTGGATCCTCAGGAGGACCGATCCCCATCCATACAGGTAAAACACACCTGACCTTTAGCCAGCTTGTCCAACACAATCTCACTTAGAGTTTTACCTTGCTTCAAAAAGTTGAAGTTGGGAAAGTTGTGATGTGATTGATATGATGAATGCTACTCTCCATTGCTAAAGTAATCTGATGAGCTCACCTGTGTATAATGACAGTGATCAGTGCGCCCCCGGTGGCCAGGCCTCTGTACTACAGCACCAGCCCAGTAGCAGTGGACCCATCCAGCTGTGGCAGTGTCAGTCCTGCCAGGAAGACCGCCTCTGCTCTGGAACCCAGTCCAGGTAAACACAACAGGTTCTACGCACAGATCTAGGATCAGCTTAGCCTCCACAAATTTTAATCTTAACCATTAGGGGTCAAATCTCTCTTTAGATCAGTTTCTAGGGGCAACTTGACATATGATATACCTGTGTAGGTGGGCAGAAGCGGAAGCCATCAGAGCCCCTCCCCCATGAGGAGACTAAGAAGCTCAGGATTGTTGGGGACATCCCCATGGAACTCATCAACGAAGTCATGGCAACCATCACCGACCCTGCCTCCATGCTGGGACCAGAGGTAACATCAAACTCTATTCAATCAGATCCGCTTTAGTTGACATCCTTATAGCGGTTGTTTTGGCGGTGTCTGAGGAGAACTGTGTTAGAGCTGTCAAATCCACAGGTGGCTCCTGGCATTATACCTAAAGCAGACATTGCCATTGGCTGCACGGAGTCGCATTAAGAGAAATCCCATGCAGCCTTGTTTGCAAGTTTGACCACTGGAATGCACAAGAGGCTGCTGAGGGGAGGACAGCTCATAATAATGTCCGGAACAGAGCAAATGGAATGGCATCAAACACCTGGAAACCATGTGTTTGATGTATTTAATACCATTCCACAAATTCCACTCCAGTTATTACCACGAGCCCGTTCTCCCCAATTAAGGTGCCACCAACCTTCTGTGCTGTAATGTGAGATGTAATATACACCTGATTAGGATGATTGAAATCCTAATTATTTTGTTTAATGATTTTTCAATTTGAGAGTAATTATTTCTATATAGCCTACACTTTCTCGTTCTGAACTTCTAACTCGAGTGGGGTCGGTGTGGCTTTGTGACAATGATCGCAAGAGCAGCTGCTCACTGATATGACGGCTCCAACGCAGTTTCACCTCCAACACCACCAAAACATCCGCTATGCGGCTGTCTGTTATCACCGGTTAACACTTGATCTGATTGTATCTAGGCCTCAATCAGTCCAATATGTAGTCATCAATACTTCCATCACTTGAGTCCAACACATATCATCAATACTTCCTTTACTTCAGTCCAACACTTAGTCAACAATACTTTAATCACTTAACACTCTCTATTCCATCTCAGTTAAAAAGTTAGTGGATATTAGATTGTATGTTTGACTTGCAGTTTAGAACCCCCCAGTAAGTCAATGTTTTAGAGGCAGTATTGAGGTTTGAAGGTGATGATGATGGTGAAGCTACTGCTGCTGCTGACGATAATGATGATGATGGGACAAATATAAGGACACTGCTAAATCAAAATGAGTGCTGTAATAGGACTTGATGATGATGATGAGGAAGGCTGACGTCATCCCCCTCCCCCTCCCCACCCCCAGACCAGTCTGCTGTCGGCCCACTCAGCCCGTGATGAGGCGGCCCGCCTGGAGGAGAGGAGGGGGGTGATAGAGTTCCATGTCATTGGGAACTCCCTCAACCAGAAGCCCAACAAGAGGATCCTCATGTGGCTGGTGGGCCTCCAGAATGTCTTCTCTCACCAGCTGCCTCGCATGCCCAAAGAGTACATTACACGCCTCGTCTTCGACCCGTGAGTGTTACCATAGAGTTCTACCCTGACTGACTGACCACCATAGAGAAAAATATTCCCAACTTTGTAGCACAAATGAGTAGGTGTGTCCAAACTTTTGACTGTCAAAAGTTTGGACACACCTACTCATTCCAGGGTTTTTCTTTATTTTTACTATTTTCTACATTGTAGAATAATAGTGACGACATCAAAACTATGAAATAACACATGGAATCATGTCGTAACCAAAAAAGTGTTTAACAAATCTAAATATATTTTATATTTGAGATTCTTCAAAGTAGCCATCCTTTGCCTTGAAGACAGCTTTGCACACTCTTGGCATTCTCTCAACCAGCTTCATGAGGTAGTCACCTGGAATGCATTTCAATTATTAGGTGTGCCTTGTTAAAAATTAATTTGTGGAATTTCTTTCCTTCTTAATGCGTTTGAGCCAATCAGTTGTGTTGTGACAAGGTAGGGGGGGTATACAGAAGATAGCCCTATTTGGTAAAAGACCAAGTCCATATTATGGCAAGACAGCTCAAATAAGCAAAGAGAAACGACAGTCCATCATTACTTTAAGACATGTGGGTCAGTCAATCTGGAAAATGTCAAGAACTTTGAAAGTTTCTTCAAGCGCAGTCGCAAAAACCATCAAGCGCTATGATGAAACTGGCTCTCATGAGGGCCACCACAGGAAAGGAAGAGTTACCTCTGCTGCAGAGGATAAGTTCATTAGAATTAACTGCACCTCAGATTGCAGCCCAAATAAATGCTTCACAGAGTTCAAGTAACAGACACATCTCAACATCAACTGTTCAGAGGAGACTGTGTGAATCAGGCCTTCATGGTTGAATTGCTGCATAGAAACCACTACTAAAGGACACCAATAATAAGAAGAGACCTGCTTGGACCAAGAACAATGAGCAATGGACATTAGACCGGTGGAAATCTGTCCTTTGGTCTGGAGTCCAAATTTGAGATTTTTGGTTCCAACCGCCGTGTCTTTGTGAGACGCAGAGTAGGTGAACGTATAATCTCCGCATGTGTGTTTCCCACCGTGAAGCATGGAGGAGGAGGTGTGATGGTGTGGGGGTGCTTTGCTGGTGACACTGTCAGTGATTTATTTAGAATTCAAGGCACACTTAACCAGCATGGCTACCGCAGCATTCTGCAGCAATACGCCATCCCATCTGGTTTGCGTTTAGTGGGAATTTTATTAGTTTTTCAACAGGACAATGACCCAAAACACACCTCCAGGCTGTATAAGGGCTATTTGACCAAGAAGGAGAGTGATGGAGTGCTGCATCAGATGACCTGGCCTCCACAAACCCCCAACCTTTAAAACAATTTTTTTTTTTAATTTCACCTTTATTTAACCAGGTAAGCCAGTTGAGAACAAGTTCTCATTTACAACTGCGACCTGGCCAAGATAAAGCAAAGCAGTGCAATAAAAACAACAACAACACAGAGTTACATATGGGATAAACAAACATACAGTCAAAAACACAATAGAGAAACACAATAGAAAATATATATACAGTGTGTGCAAATGTAGTAAGTTATGGAGGTAAGGCAATAAAATAGGCCATAGTGCAAAATAATAACAATTTAGTATTAACACTGGAGTGATAGATGTGCAGAAGATGATGTGCAAATAGAGATACTGGGGTGCAAATGAGCAAAATAAATAACAATATGGGGATGATGTAGTTGGATGGGCTAATTACAGATGGGCTTTGTACAGGTGCAGTGATCGGTAAGCTGCTCTGACAACTGATGCTTAAAGTTAGTGAGGGAGATAAGAGTCTCCAGCTTCAGAGATTTTTGCATTTCGTTCCAGTCTTTGGCAGCAGAGAACTGGAAGGAATGGCGGCCAAAGGAGGTGTTGGCTTTGGGGATGACTAGTGCGATATACCTGCTGGAACGAATACTACGGGTGGGTGTTGCTATGGTGACCAATGAGCTAAGATAAGGCGGGGATTTGCCTAGCAGTGATTTATAGATGACCTGGAGCCAGTGGGTTTGGCGACGAATATGTAGTGAGGGCCAGCCAACGAGAGCGTACAGGTCACAATGGTGGGTAGTATATGGGGCTTTGGTGACAAAACTGATGGAACTGTGATAGACTACATCCAATTTGCTGAGTAGAGTGTTGGAGGCTATTTTGTAAATGACATCGCCGAAGTCAAGGATCGGTAGGATAGTCAGTTTTACGAGGGCATGTTTGGCAGCATGAGTGAAGGAGGCTTTGTTGCGAAATTGAAAGCCAATTCTAGATTTAACTTTGGATTGGAGATGCTTAATGTGAGTCTGGAAGGAGAGTTTACGGTCTAACCAGACACCTAGGTATTTGTAGTTGTCCACATATTCTAAGTCAGACCCGCCGAGAGTAGTGATTCTTGTCGGGCGGGCGGGTGCAAGCAGTGTTCGATTGAAGAACATGCATTTAGTTTTACTAGCATTTAAGAGCAGTTGGAGGCTACAGAAGGAGTGTTGTATGGCATTGAAGCTCGTTTGGAGGTTTGTTAACACAGTGTCCAATGAAGATGTATACAAAATGGTGTCGTCTGCGTAGAGGTGGATCTGAGAGTCACCAGCAGCAAGAGCGACATCATTGATATACACAGAGAATAGAGTCGGCCCGAGAATTGAACCCTGTGGCACCCCCATAGAGACTGCCAGAGGTCCAGACAACAGGCCCTCCAATTTGACACATTGAACTCTATCTGAGAAGTAGTTGGTGATCCAGGCGAGGCAGTCATTTGAGAAACCAAGGCTATTTAGTCTGCCAATAAGAATGCGGTGGTTGACAGAGTCGAAAGCCTTGGCCAGGTTGATGAAGACGGCTACACAGTACTGTCTTTTATCGATCGCGGTTATAATATCGTTTAGGACCTTGAGCGTAGCTGAGGTGCACCCATGACCAGCTCGGAAACCAGATTGCATAGCGGAGAAGGTACGGTGGGATTCGAAATAGTCGGTGATCTGTTTGTTAACTTGGCTTTCAAATACTTTCAAAAGGTAGGGCAGGATGGATATAGGTTTCAGACGATTCGAAAGAGAGGTTGAAAAGGCTAGTAATAGGGGTTGCGACAATTTCGGCGGCTAATTTTAGAAAGAAAGGGTCCAGATTGTCTAGCCCAGCTGATTTATAGGGGTGCAGATTTTGCAGCTCTTTCAGAACATCAGTTGTCTGAATTTGGGTGAAGGAGAAGCGGGGGGACATGGACAAGTTGCAGCAGAGGGTGCAGAGCTGGTGGCCGGGGTAGGGGTAGCCAGGTGGAAAGCATGGCCAGCCGTAGCAAAATGCTTGTTGAAAATCTCGATTATCATAGATTTATCGGTGGTGACAGTGTTTCCTAGCCTCAGTGCAGTGGGCAGCTGGGAGGAGGTGCTCTTATTCTCCATGGACTTTACAGTGTCCCAAAACTTTTTGGAGTTAGTGCTACAGGATGCACATTTCTGCTTGAAAAAGCTAGCCTTTGCTTTCCTAACTGATTGTGTATATTGGTTCCTGACTTCCCTGAAAAGTTGCATATCGCAGGGGCTGTTCGATGCTAATGCAGTACGCCACAGGATGTTTTTGTGCTGGTCAAGGGCAGTCAAGTCTGGGGTGAACCAGGGGGTATATCTGTTCTTAGTTCTGAATTTTTTGAATGGGGCATGCTTATTTAAGATGGAGAGGAAAGCACTTTTAAAGAACAACCAGGCATCCTCTACTGACGGAATGAGGTCAATATCCATCCAGGATACCCAGGCCAGGTCAATTAGAAAGGTCTGCTCGCTAAAGTGTTTTAGGGAGCGTTATTTAGAGTGTAAATTAGTCAGGATGATATCTATGAGGGTGCCCATGTTTACGGATTTAGGGTTGTACCTGGTAGGTTCCTTGATAAGTTGTGTGAGATTGAGGGCATCTAGTTTAGATTGTAGGACGGACGGGGTGTTAAGCATATCCCAGTTTAGGTCACCAAGCAGTACGAACTCTGAGGATAGACGGGGGGGCAATCAATTCACATATGGTGTCCAGGGCACAGCTGGGGGCTGAGGGGGTTCTGTAGCAAGCGGCAACAGTGAGAGACGTATTTCTGGAAAGGTGGATTTTTTGAAGTAGAAGCTCAAACTGTTTGGGCACAGACCTGGATAGTATGATATATCTCTACAGTAGATTGCAACTCAGCCCCCTTTGGCAGTTCTATCTAGACGGAAAATGTTGTAGTTGGGGATGGACATTTCTGAATTTTTGGTGGCCTTCCTAAGGCAGGATTCAGACACTGCTAGAACATCAGGGTTGGCGAAGTGTGCTAACGCAGTGAATAACTCAAACTTAGGGAGGAGGCTTCTGATGTTAACATGCAAGAAACCAATTGACCTCAACCCAATTCAGATGGTTTGGGATGAGTTGGACCACAGAGTGAAGTAAAAGCAGCCAACAAGTGCTCAGCATATGTGGGAACTCCTTCAAGACATAGTTTTGATGTCTTCACTATTATTCCACAATGTCGAAAATAGTAAAAAATAAAGAAAAAGTTTGGACACACCTACTCATTCAAGGGTTTTTCTTTCTTTATTTTTTGACTATTTTCTACATTGTAGAATAATAGTTAAGACATCAAGTGGTACAGCGAGTGGCACAGCGGTCTAAGGCACTGCATCTCAGTGCTTGAGGCGTCACTACAGACCCCCTGGTTCGATTCACGGCTGTATCACAACCGGCCGTGATTGGGAGTCCCATAGGGCGGCGCACAATTGGCCCAGCGTCGTCCGGGTTTGGCCGGTGTAGGCCGTCATTGTAAATAAGAATTTGTTCTTAACTGACTTGCCTAGTTAAATAAAGGTTAAATAAAAATAAATAAAAACATATGCTGAGCACTTGTTGGCTGCTTTTCCTTCACTCTGCCGTCCGACTCATCCCAAACCATCTCAATTGGGTTGAGGTCGGGGTATTGTGGAGGCCAGGTCATCTGATGCAGCACTCCATCACTCTCCTTCTTGGTAAAATAGCCCTTACACAACCTGGAGGTGTGTTTGGTCATTGTCCTGTTGAAAAAGAAATGATAGGCCCACTAAGCCCAAACCAGATGGGATGGCGTATTGCTGCAGAATGCTGTGGTAGTCATGCTGGTTAAGTGTGCCTTGAATTCTAAATAAATCACAGACAGTGTCACCAGCAAAGCACCCCCACACCATAACACCTCCTTCTCCATGCTTTACGGTGGGAAATACACAGGCAGAGATGATCCATTCACCCACACCACGTCTCACAAAGACACAGTGGTTGGAACCAAAAATCTCCAATTTGGACTCCAGACTGGTAACTCTATTGAACTTATCCTCTGCAGCAGAGGTAACTCTGGGTCTTCCATTGCTGTGTCGATCCTCATGAGAGCCAGTTTCATCATAGCGCTTGATAGTTGTTGCGACTGCACTTGAAGAAACCTTTAAAGTTCTTGACATTTTCCAGATTGACTGACCTTCATGTCTTAAAGTAATGATGGACTGTCGTTTCTCTTTGCTTATTTGAGCTGTTCTTGCCATAATATGGACTTGGTCTTTTACCAAATAGGGCTATCTCCTGTATACCCCTCTACCTTCTCACAACACAACTGATTGGCTCAAATGCATTAAGAAGGAAAGAAATTCCACAAATTAACTTTTAAGAAGGCACACCTGTTACTTGAAATGCATTCCAGGTGACTACCTCATGAAGCTGGTTGAGAGAATGCCAAGCGTGTGCAAAGCTATCATCAAGGCACAGGATGGCTATTTGAAGAATCTCAAATATAAAATATATTTTGATTTGTATAACACTTTTTTGGTTACTACATGATTCCATATGTGTTATTTCATAGTTTTGATGTCTTCACTATTATTCTACAATGTAAAAAATACAGAAAAACCCTTGAATGAGTAGGTGTGTCCAAACCTTTGACTGGTAGTATATATATACACACACACATCTTAAAAAATATATTTTCCTTTATTATTTTCCCCTAACTCTACCACCCCTCCACTAATTGGAGTAAACTAGTGAACAACAACACTTAGGCTTCTACTTCCAGCTTATACATACTATACAGTGGGGAAAAAAAGTATTTAGTCAGCCACCAATTGTGCAAGTTCTCCCACTTAAAAAGATGAGAGAGAACTTGAATTGTCATCATAGGTACACGTCAACTATGACAGACAAATTGAGAAAAAAAAATCCAGAAAATCACATTGTAGGATTTTTAATGAATTTATTTGCAAATTATGGTGGAAAATAAGTATTTGGTCACCTACAAACAAGCAAGATTTCTGGCTCTCACAGACCTGTAACTTCTTCTTTAAGAGGCTCCTCTGTCCTCCACTCGTTACCTGTATTAATGGCACCTGTTTGAACTTGTTATCAGTATAAAAGACACCTGTCCACAACCTCAAACAGTCACACTCCAAACTCCACTATGGCCAAGACCAAAGAGCTGTCAAAGGACACCAGAAACAAAATTGTAGACCTGCACCAGGCTGGGAATACTGAATCTGCAATAGGTAAGCAGCTTGGTTTGAAGAAATCAACTGTGGGAGCAATTATTAGGAAATGGAAGACATACAAGACCACTGATAATCTCCCTCGATCTGGGGCTCCACGCAAGATCTCACCCCGTGGGGTCAAAATGATCACAAGAACGGTGAGCAAAAATCCCAGAACCACACGGGGGGACCTAGTTAATGACCTGCAGAGAGCTGGGACCAAAGTAACAAAGCCTACCATCAGTAACACACTACGCCGCCAGAGACTCAAATCCTGCAGTGCCAGACGTGTCCCACTGCTTAAGCCAGTATATGTCCAGGCCCGTCTGAAGTTTGCTAGAGTGCACAGAAGAGGATTGGGAGAATGTCATATGGTCAGATGAAACCAAAATAGAACTTTTTGGTAAAAACTCAACTCGTCGTGTTTGGAGGACAAAGAATGCTGAGTTGCATCCAAAGAACAGCATACCTACTGTGAAGCATGGGGGTGGAAACATCATGCTTTGGGGCTGTTTTTCTGCAAAGGGACCAGGACGACTGATCCGTGTAAAGGAAAGAATGAATGGGGCCATGTATCATGAGATTTTGAGTGAAAACCTCCTTCCATCAGCAAGGGCATTGAAGATGAAACGTGGCTGGGTCTTTCAGCATGACAATGATCCCAAACACACCGCCCGGGCAACGAAGGAGTGGCTTCGTAAGAAGCATTTCAAGGTCCTGGAGTGGCCTAGCCAGTCTCCAGATCTCAACCCCATAGAAAATATTTGGAGGGAGTTGAAAGTCCGTGTTGCCCAGCGACAGCCCCAAAACATCACTGCTCTAGAGGAGATCTGCATGGAGGAATGGGCCAAAATACCAGCAACAGTGTGTGAAAACCTTGTGAAGACTTACAGAAAACGTTTGACCTGTGTCATTGCCAACAAAGGGTATATAACAAAGTATTGAGAAACTTTTGTTATTGACCAAATACTTATTTTCCACCAGAATTTGCAAATAAATTCATTAAAAATCCTACAATGTGATTTTCTGGATTTTTTTTCTCATTTTGTCTGTCATAGTTGACGTGTACCGATGATGAAAATTACAGGCCTCTCTCATCTTTTTAAGTGGGAGAACTTGCACAATTGGTGGCTGACTAAATACTTTTTTTCCCCACTGTATACATTTTACGGACACAATCTATTTTACAATAGTTATCTTTTGTTTGTTTTCAAGCCTATCTTTCCGCTACCCGTAACCACTCCAATCTATTTCTGAAGACCATCCAGTTTGATTTCTATTTTCCACATATTTTTAACTATGACATCAATGTTGAGGTGAATGAGAACATTGGAACTGTTCACTTCCTTTCCAAACAGGAAGCACAAGACTCTGTCGCTGATCAAAGATGGCCGTGTGATCGGAGGGATCTGCTTCCGGATGTTCCCCTCGCAGGGCTTCACAGAGATCGTGTTCTGTGCCGTCACCTCCAACGAGCAGGTCAAGGTATGAGTCTGCAGCTCTTCTAGCCTGGTCCCAGATCTGTTTGTGCTGTCTTTCCAACTCCTATGGTCATATTTGACATGACAGTGACCATAGGACTTGGCTATACACAAACAGACAAACAGTTCTGGGACCAGGCTACAGTTCCTTTTCTGGTCACATTTCTGTTGGTATTAACTGATATGACTGATATTTATTCTACTGCCATTGGGCTCAGTGCCTCACGCTTCTTGATTGGTCAGTTTTGACCTTTGACCCCTACCTATTGTTTAAAGGGATACGGCACTCACCTGATGAACCATCTGAAGGAGTACCACATCAAGCATGACATCCTCAACTTCCTCACCTACGCAGACGAGTACGCCATTGGCTACTTCAAAAAGCAGGTCAGTACATGATTGGCTTCTTAAAAAGATCAGAAAATGGCATTGGTTATCTTGCAATGTATTGTGAAACATCAATAAACTGTGGGTCTTTGCAAAAATTGACCATTCTTACATCTCTCTCTTTCTCTGTCTCTGTCTCTCTCTCTCTCCATCTCTCTCTCTGTGTCTCAGGGCTTCTCTAAAGACATCAAGGTTCCCAAGGCCAAGTATCTGGGCTACATCAAAGACTATGAGGGAGCGACGCTGATGGGCTGTGAGCTCAACCCCAGCATCCCTTACACTGAGTTTTCTGTCATTATCAAGAAGCAGAAGGAGGTGTGTGTGTGTGCCTACAACGTCTATTTGTATAATAAATTGAGTTACCTAAGTTCTCTCTCTCTCTTTCTGTCTCTCTCCCTTCCGCTATCGCTCCCTCTCTCTCCCTCCCTCCCTCTTTCAGATCATAAAGAAACTGATAGAGAGAAAGCAGGCTCAGATCAGAAAGGTCTACCCAGGACTTTCCTGTTTTAAGGAAGGAGTTCGACAGATTCCCATCGAGAGCATTCCTGGAATACGTACGTTTCTCCTCCTGTCATTATATAAGTCTACCTTCAGCATAGGTTCAAAGGATGCGTCCCAAATGGCACCCTATTCCCTACATACAGTGGGGGAAAAAAGTATTTAGTCAGCCACCAATTGTGCAAGTTCCCCCACTTAAAAAGATGAGAGAGGCCTGTAATTTTCATCATAGGTACACGTCAACTATGACAGACAAAATGAGAAATAAAATCCAGAAAATCACATTGTAGGATTTTTAATGAATTTATTTGCAAATTATGGTGGAAAATAAGTATTTGGTCAATAACAAAAGTTTCTCAATACTTTGTTATATACCCTTTGTTGGCAATGACACAGGTCAAACGTTTTCCGTAAGTCTTCACAAGGTTTTCACACACTGTTGCTGGTATTTTGGCCCATTCCTCCATGCAGATCTCCTCTAGAGCAGTGATGTTTTGGGGCTGTCGCTGGGCAACACGGACTTTCAACTCCCTCCAAATATTTTCTATGGGGTTGAGATCTGGAGACTGGCTAGGCCACTCCAGGACCTTGAAATGCTTCTTACGAAGCCACTCCTTCGTTGCCCGGGCGGTGTGTTTTGGGATCATTGTCATGCTGAAAGACCCAGCCACGTTTCATCTTCAATACCCTTGCTGATGGAAGGAGGTTTTCACTCAAAATCTCACGATACATGGCCCCATTCATTCTTTCCTTTACACGGATCAGTCGTCCAGGTCCCTTTGCAGAAAAACAGCCCCAAAGCATGATGTTTCCACCCCCATGCTTCACAGTAGGTATGGTGTTCTTTGGATGCAACTCAGCATTCTTTGTCCTCCAAACACGACGAGTTGAGTTTTTACCAAAAAGTTATATTTTGGTTTCATCTGACCATATGACATTCTCCCAATCCTCTTCTGGATCATCCAAATGCACTCTAGCAAACTTCAGACGGGCCTGGACATGTACTGGCTTAAGCAGGGGGACACGTCTGGCACTGCAGGATTTGAGTCCCTGGCGGCGTAGTGTGTTACTGATGGTAGGCTTTGTTACTTTGGTCCCAGCTCGCTGCAGGTCATTCACTAGGTCCCCCCGTGTGGTTCTGGGATTTTTGCTAACCGTTCTTGTGATCATTTTGACCCCACGGGGTGAGATCTTGTGTGGAGCCCCAGATCGAGGGAGATTATCAGTGGTCTTGTATGTCTTCCATTTCCTAATAATTGCTCCCACAGTTGATTTCTTCAAACCAAGCTGCTTACCTATTGCAGATTCAGTCTTCCCAGCCTGGTGCAGGTCTACAATTTTGTTTCTGGTGTCCTTTGACAGCTCTTTGGTCTTGGCCATAGTGGAGTTTGGAGTGTGACTGTTTGAGGTTGTGGACAGGTGTCTTTTATACTGATAACAAGTTCAAACAGGTGCCATTAATACAGGTAACGAGTGGAGGACAGAGGAGCCTCTTAAAGAAGAAGTTACAGGTCTGTGAGAGCCAGAAATCTTGCTTGTTTGTAGGTGACCAAATACTTATTTTCCACCATAATTTGCAAATAAATTCATTCAAAATCCTACAATGTGATTTTCTGGATTTTTTTTTCTCCATTTGTCTGTCATAGTTGACATGTACCTATGATGGAAATTACAGGCCTCTCTCATCTTTTTAAGTGGGAGAACTTGCACAATTGGTGGCTGACTAAATACTTTTTTTCCCCACTGTATGGGCCCTGGTCAAACGTAGGGCACTATATAGGGAATATGGTGCCATTTGGGACACAGTTAAAGGCACATCTCCAAAGAGGTAGCAGTGAAGTGGGGTAGTAAAGAAGTGTGTGGACAGTGTCTCTAGTTTAACTCAACTCTTTTTTGTCACCAGGAGAAACTGGATGGAAACCGGTGGGCAAAGGGTGAGTGATTCTTTCAGTAAAACAAATGTAAGGGCTTTTAAGTTTTCCTTCGAAAGCTTGGCCAGTGAGCTACCACTGTCATCGTCATGGTAACTCTGACAGAAAATGAGGTGATATCAACGTCCTGTTTCCTGTTGTGATCCCAGGAAAGAGCTGAAGGATCCAGATCAGCTGTACAGCACCCTGAAGACCATCCTACAACACGTTAAGGTGAGGGACACGCACATACACATGCATGCAAACTCACTCTCTCTCGCTCACACGCACGCACACATGCATGCAATCACCCACCCACTCACTCACTCTCAAATGCACACACACCAACTCGTAGCCCCACACACACAGGTTTCTCACTATGTGTTATGTGTTATAGAGTCACCAGAATGCCTGGCCGTTCATGGAACCAGTGAAGAAGACTGAGGCTCCTGGCTACTACCAAGTCATCCGCTTCCCCATGGGTATGTATGGCATTACGTATGGAACACATCTGTGGATGGGTCAACTCTTCAGGGGAAGGAATATAGCCATACATAACTTGTAAGCAAACAAATATGGATGATTGAATTGAGTCAGATACAGTGTCTTCAGAAAGTATTCATACCGCTTGACTTGTTCCACATTTTGTTGTGTTACAGCCTGAATTCAAAATGGATTCAATATATTTTTTTCTCACCCATCTACACACAATACCCCATAATGACAAAGTGTTTGCTAATTTATTGAAGAATATAATAATAATAATAATATGCCATTTAGCAGACGCTTTTATCCAAAGCGACTTACAGTCATGCGTGCATACATTTTTGTGTATGGGTGGTCCCGGGGATCGAACCCACTACCCTGGCGTTACAAGTGCCGTGCTCTACCAGCTGAGCTACAGAGGACCACAAGAAGGCCATTGAAGGCCGAAACGTCAATCTTTTAAACTTGTCTAATAAAACTACACATTTTTTTATGGTGAGCGAGCATTGCACCTTTTCCTGTCCATTGAAAATGACATATAGAAATATCTCATTTACATAAGTATTCACACCCCTGAATCAATCCGTATAGAAGCACCTTTGGCAGTGATTACAGCTGTGAGTATTTCTGGGTAAATCTCTTAGAGCTTTCCACACCTGGATTATGCAACATTTTCCCATTATTCTTAAAACAATTCTTCAAGCTCTGTCAAATTGGTTGTTGATCATTGCTTGACAACCATTTTCAGGTCGGCCACTCAGGAACATTCACTGTCTTCTTGGTAAGCAACTCCAGTGTAGATTTGGCCTTGTGTTTTAGGTTATTGTCCTGCTGAAAGGTGAATTCATCTCCTAGTGTCTGGTAGAAAGCAGACTGAACCAGGTTTCCACTAGGATTTTGCCTGTGGTTAGCTCCAGTCCGTATATACAGTGGGGGAAAAAAGTATTTAGTCAGCCACCAATTGTGCAAGTTCTCCCACTTAAAAAGATGAGAGAGGCCTGTAATTTTCATCATAGGTACACGTCAACTATGACAGACAAAATGAGATTTTTTTTCTCCAGAAAATCACATTGTATGATTTTTAATGAATTTATTTGCAAATTATGGTGGAAAATAAGTATTTGGTCAATAACAAAAGTTTCTCAATACTTTGTTATATACCCTTTGTTGGCAATGACACAGGTCAAACGTTTTCTGTAAGTCTTCACAAGGTTTTCACACACTGTTGCTGGTATTTTGGCCCATTTCTCCATGCAGATCTCCTCTAGAGCAGTAATGTTTTGGGGCTGTCGCTGGGCAACACGGACTTTCAACTCCCTCCAAAGATTTTCTATGGGGTTGAGATCTGGAGACTGGCTAGGCCACTCCAGGACCTTGAAATGCTTCTTACGAAGCCACTCCTTCGTTGCCCGGGCGGTGTGTTTGGGATCATTGTCATGCTGAAAGACCCAGCCACGTTTCATCTTCAATGCCCTTGCTGATGGAAGGAGGTTTTCACTCGAAATCTCACGATACATGGCGCCATTCATTCTTTCCTTTACACGGATCAGTCGTCCTGGTCCCTTTGCAGAAAAACAGCCCCAAAGCATGATGTTTCCACCCCCATGCTTCACAGTAGGTATGGTGTTCTTTGGATGCAACTCAGCATTCTTTGTCCTCCAAACACGACGAGTTGAGTTTTTACCAAAAAGTTCTATTTTGGTTTCATCTGACCATATGACATTCTCCCAATCCTCTTCTGGATCATCCAAATGCACTCTAGCAAACTTCAGACGGGCCTGGACATGTACTGGTTTAAGCAGGGGGACACGTCTGGCGCTGCAGGATTTGAGTCCCTGGCGGCGTAGTGTGTTACTGATGGTAGGCTTTGTTACTTTGGTCCCAGCTCTCTGCAGGTCATTCACTAGGTCCCCCCGTGTGGTTCTGGGATTTTTGCTCACCGTTCTTGTGATCATTTTGACCCCACGGGGTGAGATCTTGCGTGGAGCCCCAGATCGAGGGAGATTATCAGTGGTCTTGTATGTCTTCCATTTCCTAATAATTGCTCCCACAGTTGATTTCTTCAAACCAAGCTGCTTACCTATTGCAGATTCAGTCTTCCCAGCCTGGTGCAGGTCTACAATTTTGTTTCTGGTGTCCTTTGACAGCTCTTTGGTCTTGGCCATAGTGGAGTTTGGAGTGTGACTGTTTGAGGTTGTGGACAGGTGTCTTTTATACTGATAACAAGTTCAAACAGGTGCCATTAATACAGGTAACGAGTGGAGGACAGAGGAGCCTCTTAAAGAAGAAGTTACAGGTCTGTGAGAGCCAGAAATCTTGCTTGTTTGTAGGTGACCAAATACTTATTTTCCACCATAATTTGCAAATAAATTCATTAAAAATCCTACAATGTGATTTTCTGGATTTTTTCCCCTCAATTTGTCTGTCATAGTTGACGTGTACCTATGATGAAAATTACAGGCCTCTCTCATCTTTTTAAGTGGGAGAACTTGCACAATTGGTGACTGACTAAATACTTTTTTTCCCCACTGTATATTTTTTCCTGAAAAACTCCCCAGTCCGTAACGATAACAAGCATACACATGCTTGAAAATATGGAGAGTGGTACTCAGTAATGTGTTGTATTGGATTTGCCCCAAACGTAACACTTTGTATTCAGGACAAAAAGTTAATTGCTTTGCCACATTTTTTGCAGTATTACTTCAGTGCCTTGTTGCAAACAGGATGCATGTTTTGGAATATTTGTATTCTGTACAGGCTTCCTTATTTTAACTCTGTCAATTAGGTTAGTATTGTAGAGTAACTACAAAGTTGTTGATCCATCCTCAGTTTTCTCCTATCACAGACGTTAAACTCTAACTGTTTTAAAGTCACCATTGGCCTCATGGTGAATTCCCTGAGCAGTTTCCATCCTCTCCGGCAACGGAGTTAGGAAAGACACCTGTATATTTGTAGTGACTGGGTGTATTGATACACCATCCAAAGTTTAATTAATAACTTCACCATGCTCAAAGGGATATTCAATTTTTACCGATCTACCAATAGGTTCCCTTCTTTGCGAGGCATTGGAAAACTTCCCTGGTCTTTGTGGTTGAATCTGTGTCTGAAATTCACTGCTCGGCTGAGGGACCTTGCAGGTAATTGTATGTGTAGGGTACAGAGATGAGGTAGTCATTCAAAAGTCATGTTAAACACTATTGTTATTAGTTCATGCAACTTATTATGTGACTTGTTGAGAAATATTTTACTCCTGAACTTATTTAGGCTTGCCATACCAAAGGGGTTGAATACTTATTGACGCAAGACATTTCAGCTTTTCATTTTTTATTAATTTGTAAACATTTCTAAAAACATAATTCCACTTTGACATTATGGGGTATTGTGTCCAGTTACACAACAAAATGTGAAAAGTCAAGAGGTGTGAATACTTTCCATCCTAACAATGGGATTCCTTGTCCAGAGCGGAACAGCGGGCTGTCAAGCTCCCACCTATTCCTCTATTTATATGAATACTTTTTAAAATATTCAATGAGGGGTGTTGACGTCAATGTCTGTATTCAACGGAGAGTGAGATGCTACGCTGAATATGCATAGAGCGTCTTATTTATTTGATTTGATTTTGGGCGGAGTAAACCCTCTTGCTTCGCCTCTTCCTCTCTGGGATAGTTACCTACATGTTGTGCTGTGTGATTATCTCCAGACCTGAAGACGATGTCGGAGCGTCTGAAGAGCAGGTACTACACCACGCGGAAGCTCTTCATGGCCGACATGCAGCGCATCTTCACCAACTGTCGCGAGTACAATCCGCCAGAGAGCGAGTACTACAAGTGTGCCAACCTGCTAGAGAAGTTCTTCTACACCAAGATCAAGGAGGCAGGCCTCATTGAGAAGTGAAGAGATGGGAGGGGCTTCAAGGGAAATGGGAGGGGCTTCAAGAAAGAGGGAGCAATGGCTTAAGTCTAATGATTTCAAAAGGTACCAGTCAAAAGTTTGGACACACCTACTCATTCCAGGGTTTTTCTTTATTTTTACTATTTTCTACATTGTAGAATAATAGTGAAGACATCAAAACTATGAAATAACACATATGGAATCATGTAGTAACCAAAAAAGTGTTAAAGAAATCAAAATATATTTTATATTCCTCAAAGTAGCCACCCTTTGCCTTGATGACAGCTTTGTACACACTTGGCATTCTCTCAACCAGCTTCATGAGGTAGTCACCTGGAATGCATTTCAATTAACAGGTATGCATTCTTAATAGATAATTTGTGGAATTTCTTTCCTTCTTAATGCATTTGAGCCAATCAGTTGTGTTGTGACAAGGTGGGGGGGGGGGGTATACAGAAGATAGCCCTATTTGGTAAAAGACCAAGTCTATATTATGGCAAGAACAGCTCAAATAAGCAAAGAGAAACGACAGGCCATCTTTACTTTAAAGACATGAAGGTCAGTCAATCTGGAAAATTGCAAGAGCTTTGAAAGTTTCTTCACGTGCAGTCACAAAAACCATTAAGTGCTATGATTAAACTGGCTCTCATGAGGACCGCCACAGGAAAGGAAGACCCAGAGTTACCTCTGCTGCAAAGGATAAGTTCATTAGAGTTAACTGCACCTCAGATTGCAGCCCAAATAAATGCTCCACTGTATTTAGGTGTCCAAACCTTTGACTGGTACTGTATTCTTAATTTTTCTACTGTGTTCAACCAGAAAAAGATATCCAGTAGGGAGGATGATTTTAGGTTCATCAGTATACTCTCTTTTCTCTGATATACTCTCCCTTGCCCCACTCAGGAAAACAGATGTCCTACATAGAAACTCCATCTGTTCAGCTAATCTAACCCTACATCTGTTTAGCTAACCTAACCCTACATCTGTTTAGCTAACCTAACCCTACATCTGTTCAGCTAACCTAACCGTACATCTGTTCAGCTAACCTAACCCTACATCTGTTCAACTAACCTAACCCTACATATGTTCAACTAACCTAACCCTACATATGTTCAGCTAACCTAACCGTACATCTGTTCAGCTAACCTAACCCTACATCTGTTCAACTAACCTAACCCTACATATGTTCAACTAACCTAACCCTACATATGTTCAACTAACCTAACCCTACATCTGTTCAGCTAACCTAACCCTACATCTGTTCAACTAACCTAACTCTACATCTGTTCAGCTAAACTAACCCTACATCTGTTCAGCTAACCTAACCCTACATCTGTTAAACTAACCTAACCCTACATCTGTTTAGCTAACCTAACCCTACATCTGTTCAACTAACCTAACCCTACATCTGTTCAACTAACCTAACCCTACATCTGTTCGGAGTCATACTACATGTAAGACATCACATCTGTGAAGAACTAGACTGTCTGAGAGATTTGGGGATGGATAGTCAGTCTATCAGTCAGTCAGTTACTCAGCAATTCAGTCTGTCTCAATATTGGTGGTACTGGGTCGTAATGGTGTAGGGTGAAAAGCCCCTAGATGCTGATTTTGGGTCAGTTTTGCACTTTCCCCACTAATGGTAAAGGTTAGGATTAGGGGAGGGGAAGCTGATCCTAGATCTGTACCTAGGGGAAACCTCCCCCCTGTAACCATAGTAATCTGACTAGTTCTATTTGTATGTGTGTGTTACCCAACACGCATGTGATGTGTACGCATGACTTCAGATGAGGTCTGTCCCAGCATTTATGAGGGCAAAGTTTGTGTGTATGTTACTAGAGTTCATCCTGCCAAAAAATGAAAATATTTTTTTTAATCTGTATGAATCTTAACTATTTTAAACCTCTAATTACTCCATGTATATTTTCAATGTGCTGTATATTCTTCCTGGTTTGTTTTTAAACTGAAAGGAGGGGAAGCCTCTTTTCTTGAAGTTACCCTTCATGCTGGTCCATGTAAAAAGTCCCATAGGGCAAAAGGTGACCATGGAAATGCACTTATTTATTTTTTAAGCAGCTATTCAGCATCACATGGTGAATAAGAGCTTTTTTGTTTTCCATCGAGATGTTCTATGTTTTTAGAGAAATGCACGCTATGAACTAATGGCTAATTTAAGTATGTAGAGTTTATCCTTATTTATGTGCTGTAATTTTAAAAGAATAATGATTAATAAAATGTAATTAATTTATTCTGTTTTATTATTTGTCTCTAGCCGATTGATACCTTTGTACTTTGAAGATAAAATAAAAAAGATTGTGCAATACTATGTAGTTTTGCTGTTTTGTATAAAGATGTTTGTACTTTTCAAAATTTTAGGAGAAACCTGGATTTTGTAATATGTCTGTAAGTTATTACATGGCCTTTGTACTATTGGTTTGAATGACAGCCTATTTTATAGACTGATTAAAATAGAAGTGAATCTAATGGATTGGAGTTGTTTTTCCTGATACAAATGACACTGACTCGGACGTTCCCACTCAAATCCCACTTTGCACATCGATATAAAACAAAATAATGGAATTTCTTTCTTTCTTAATGTGTTTGAGCCAATCAGATGTGTTGTGACAAGGTAGGGGGGGTATACAGAAGATAGCCCTATTTGGTAAAAGACCGTCCATATTATGGCAAGAACAGCTCAAATAAACAAAGAGAAACAACAGCCCATCATTACTTTAAGACATGAAGGTCAGTCAATACGGAACATTTCAAGAACTTTGAAAGTTTCTTCAAGTGCAGTCGCAAAAACCATCAAGCGCTATGATGAAACTGGCTCTCATGAGGACCACCACAAGAATGGAAGACCCAGAGTTACCTCTGCTGCAGAGGATAAATTCATTAGAGTTACCAGCCTCAAAAATTGCAGCCCAAATAAATGCTTCATATAATTCAAGTAACAGATACATCTCAACATCAACTGTTCAGAGGAGACTGTGTGAATCAGGCCTTCATGGTCGAATTGCTGCAAAGAAACCACTACTAAAGAACACCAATAAGAAGAAGAGACTTGCTTGGGCCAAGAAACACAAGCAATGGACATTAGACCGGTGGAAATGTGTCCTTTGGTCTGGTCTCCAAATTGGAGATTTTTGGTTCCAACCGCCGTGGCTTTGTGAGACGCGGTGTGGGTGAACGGATGATCTCTGCATGTGTATTTCCCACCGTAAAAGCATGGAGGAGGTGTTATGGTGTGGGGGTGCTTTGCTGGTGACACAGTCTGTGATTTATTTAGAATTCAAGGCACACTTAACCTGCATGGCTACCACATAATTATGCAGTGATACACCATCCCATCTGGTTTGGGCTTAGTGGGACTATCATTTGTTTTTCAACAGGACAATGACCAAACACACCTTCAGGCTGTGTAAGGCCTATTTTACCAAGAAAGAGAGTGATGGAGTGCTGCATCAGATGACCTGGCCTCCACAATCCCCCGACCTCAACCCAATTGAGATGGTTTGGGATGAGTTGGACAGCAGTGTGAAGGAAAAGCAGCCAACAAGTGCTCAGCATATGTGGGAACTCCTTCAAGACCGTTGGAAAACCATTCCAGGTGAAGCCAGTTGAGAGAATGCCAAGAGTGTGCAAAGCTGTCATCAAGGGTGGCTATTTGAAGAATCTCAAATATAAAATTATTTGTTTAACACTTTTATGGTTTATGGTTAATACATGATTCCATATGTGTTATTTCATAGTTTTGATGTCTTCACTATTATTCAACAATGTAGAAAATAGTAAAAATAAAGAAAAACCCTGGAATGAGTAGAAGTGTCCAACCCTTTGACTGGTACTGTCTATATTTCTTAATTCCATTATTTTACTTTTAGATTTGTGTGTATTGTTGTGAAATGTTAGATACTACTGCACTGTTGGAGATAGGAACAAAAACATTTTGCTACAGCCACAATAACATCTGCTAAATATGTGTATGTGACCAATAAAATGCGATTTGAGGAGTGATCTTGTTATTAGTCCCACCCTTCAGCTCCATTCAACCCCTCCCATCTATCTCTTAACACCATCTCTATTGGAATTTCTTTTTGCCATATATTTTTCAACCGTGCTGTGATGTTTCACAAAAGTTCTGAACCTTTCTATTCTCATCGTTTCTACAGATTGTAAATGAAAGATAAAAACATTTTTGCTAAAAGTATTATTATATTATTGATCGATTGACTATGACTTTTCAAATCACCCAGTAGTGCTATCTGCAGAGTTAAATCCAGGTAAATGTCGCAATTCTTTAGCCATTCCTGGGGCCTTAATAGGTAAGGGGGCTCGTGTACGTGCCCAAGGAATAATTACTTCAGCAGCATTGCCCGCTGGGAATGTCGTGCTTGTAATTACTACATCATATTGTTTATCTAGGTCTTGGGCTGTTACTCTTATGTCTATGGTCCACCTGTCTCCTTATTTTATTATCTTGATATCACAGTTACCCCCCGTGGTTCCACCCACACCAATAATCATCTGACCCTTGTTCCTTAATAGCGATCCCTTTCTGTACTTCTGTCATGGTTCTTGTTTGTGCAGGAATGGACATGCTAATCCTGTCTGTTTCTCTTCTTTGTCTTGTTCCTGTGCTTTTCACTATTTCCAGTATTCCATTTTCCTTATCCAGCTGTTTTGGTTTCCAATTTCTGTTAGGGGGACCAGCCCAAGGCAGAGAAATCAATGGTGGGGAGGTCTGGTGAGTCTTGGAGGTCTGGAAGGTCTTGGAGGTCTGGGATGTCTGGAATGTCTTGGAGGTCTGTCCCTCTACTGAGGGAATCAGCCAGAGTATGTAGCTCATCAACAGCATTCCTACTGCCCTCCTCCGCCATCCCCTGATCCTGGCCACCTCCAGAACAGAGTGGTGATTTTGCTGGAGCTTCCATCCACTCTCCTTCTTCTTCTGTTCCTGTTTCCTCTTCTTCAATATTGGGTGTTTCAGCATCCTCAGCTTC